TTCTTCTTCTTCTTCTTCTTCTTCTTCTTCTTCTTCTTCTTCTTCTTCTTCTTTACTTTGATATCATTTGTACCATTATTGTTATGACTGTTATTTTCTTAACAATATATTTCATTGATTGAAACGTTAGTTGTAGAGATCAGTGGGTTTCATAACTTTAGACGAAACGTCTTAGGTGCCTCGCCATTGTGTGTCATGGCGGGGTGGAATCAAGCGCTCGTCAGACTTTGGGGCATTTGGAAAGTATTTGCATAATCTTAATAAAGCATGTTCATTTGTGTAACGACGCGGTGGAATCATCATGCGCTTGTCATTTTTTGACAAAATGGGTTAATTTGTATCATCTTAAATCATATTCATTTGTGTAACGACGCAGTGGAATCAGGCGCTTGTCAGTTTTGGCCAAAAAGGGGTTAATTTGTATCATCTTAAAACTAGTTCGTTTATCTTGTACTTCACGGGGGTAAAGATCCTTCTATGCTCTCTTAAATAGAAGTCAAAATATCTGCAATGGAAGGAGATGGTTGTCACCTGGTGCAAGAGGTAAAAATTTCCGAGAAAATGATTTGGAGACTTCTAAAGCTTGAGTGTCCTTAAAAACTGCAATTGTACATTTTGTGAGTCTTTGGTTAACGCTTTGGTCAAAATACTCATAAAAATTACTTTTTCAATGGACATAGTGTGAATTGTTGAGGGGAATTTTTTTTGGAATAAAAAAGAAATTAGAAGAGAAAAAGGGTTAGATAGAAAATGCCTAACGAGCGGAAAAGTGCCTTAAAAAATAATTTCATTATTTGGACGAGCGCCTGATTTCAACACGATGCCTCCCCATATTAATATATAGTCTTTTTTTCCCCATTCTTTTTTAATGATCGGGAAACTGTGGTGGTAGATCTTTGTAGAAGTAAGCATAGATTTGTATTGTGGTATCCAAGACTCTGTACTGTGACGTACTTTTGGTTCATTATGGGGCGCACCATTTTGAATCCATTTAGAACCAAGTGACGGGGAAAATACAAAAAAAAGAAGAATTATAATAATAATAATGGTGATGATTATGAAGATAATAATAATAACAACAACAACAACAACAACAACAACAATAACAACAACAACAACAACACTACTACTACTACTAC